AATGGCTTGTTTTCACCCTTTGGCTCGCAGATATTTTCCCATTTTTTCGCATCCGTCGACGTCGGTTTAAAGCGGCAAGAGCCAACATTTGCCGTTGGCGAGTGTTGTACAATGCGTACAAATCAATAAGGTTTTGTACATTGAACAAATTAAACAGAGAATGAAGAAATGTCGCTAATAAAACTAGCACCAGCTTCATGTCTACAAAGTTTTATTTGGTGCTCTTTTCGCGCGTGAAATATTAAGAGTTCACAGTCTGGTTTCAAATATCCTTTATGTCGCACAAGTGTGACCTCCATGACTCCCGTGGTGTAAATGTCGCGACATATTTGTTGGACAACTTATGACGCGACATAAAAAGAATAAGGCCTTAGTGTGACCCATGCCTAAGGTGCCGGTACACTTTGGTTGTACCAATGGATCTGACCGGGACGAGTTTTTCATGTTCTTTTTTTCCGGTGAGAAACGAAAACAGTATATTGATTCTTAATGAAATGAGTACCACTTCTTATAGGGAAGTCTAGTTATTCCTCAAGGTGAGGGATTAAGTGAAAAAATTAATTTCCATCGCCACTCTCCCTTTTATTGGCAATCAGCTTTTTCAAAAGAGCTCAGCAGATACTGTTGGGTTTCGTTTTCATCAAAATATAGGATCCACAAAGCTCATTGCCTAAGATGCGAGTCCATCTCCACGTTTTTCGTGTAAGTATTATCGCTTGTTACCTGTTATTTTCTTAACCTCACAACAGAAGGGGGGAAAACCTCTTTGTAAAACCTCTTTGCACAACCAGTTCAGACTGCACACGATATGTTAGGATAGCAGGAAGTGAAAGTGAAAAGCGGTCACGTAAGACAAGGAAAGAGATCCTTATTAGGCTTCAATCGCAAGAAAACTAATTGATATGCAGGCTACATTATGTTTGGGCTACAAAATGTTTCGAGACTTGCTTCAATCAGCCTCATGCGAGTGTGATTGAAACTAATATCGTTAAAGTTGATTTCCTGCGTCTTATCTTACCTCGGCAGACTGTAGGCCAGCCTTTATCAAGAAACCCAGCTGCAATGGTAAAGTCTATGTTGATAAAGGCAACAACCAATTTGCGTTATCGTGGGACTTTAACACAGACGGAGAAACAGTTACCTGGGTGGACCTGATGTACAAAAAGAGCGGTTCCTCACACGTGCTCATTGCCAGAAAAATTGGAAACCGACTCCAAGTCCCAAGAACCACTCATTACTTTGGAAGGGTTAACGTTACAACAGAGAAAGCCACCTTTATTATATGGTACATTGTGCTGAAAGCGACCAAAGAACATTTGAATGCAAGGTTTACCTCTCATCAGTATCTAACCCCTGGATAATGAGTGCTGTAAAGCTAATTGTAGTCGGTAAGTCTTCAACTTGAGTTGTCATGGCAATTACTGCAATCAACGACAAAATGGTAAACATGACAGGATTTCTCCCCTCCGGTTTTTTCCTTATCTCTTAATTGGCTTGCCGCCTCCATGTCTCCTCCTCTTCTCCCCCCCCCCTCCCCATATAACTTAGTTTGTTTCCCCTTTACCCCTCGAAATCTTGGCTCTGTATGTTTTGTTTGTGACTCAAAGCTTTAGGCGCCAAGATCGGACGGAGATGTTTGCTTACATCGATCAAATATACTCGGATGTGCTTCTGTTTATTTTTCTGCTTTTAATTGGTAAAATAGGACAAACCTCAGCTAACTACGTTTCTTTCTTTTCCTTTAAAGCTAAACCAATTATCACATTTAGAACAACACAACCCCTCATGCTGGACGAGGGAAACACCAGTACGTTGCTATGTGTTGCCAGTGGCAACCCTAAACCATCCTTCACGTGGTATAAAGACAACGTAAAGGTTCAGGAAGATTCCGACAACTCCAACTATATAATAACATCAGCCACCAGGTATCACACAGGGATGTACCGATGTGAAGCTGTTATCACTGCCCCAGCGTCGGATCCATATAGGACGTCTGACTACAACGTTAGTGTAACAGTAAGATGTAAGTACAAGATATTCAGTTTCGCTAATCCTGCTTTGCTAGCCGCAATATGGAATTAATTAATTAATTAATTGTGATGTTCTGACAAACACTAGTTAAAGAACGTCTTTTGTCTCGATGGGCCATTTGTCAGTTGGAGTAGCCCCTTCTCCCGACTAAAAAAACTATCTTCATTTCGGATCTAATATCAGCTCTTGCTTCCAAGTTTTGGTTTGCCAGATATCTAAGCAGGGAAGTGTTACGTATTTTGTCAACCAGGATATCACCTTGAGATGGGAAAAACAGATGTAAAACGAATCCAGGGCCTATACTTACAAATTTCATTTAACATGAACGCTTTTAATTATTTTCCTTTTTTCAGACAAGCCCTAACACAACGTTTATAGTTTGGAACGCAATGAAACCGTTTATTTAGGCTGTGATGCAATGTTTCATTGTCGAACGGAAGCATTCCCTATTGCAACAGCTGGTTTAAGGATGACAACCAAATTTCCAATTCGAGGGACTACACGAGTGATAATTTCGGTTATGGAGAAAGCAGACTAACGGTGAAGCAAGTTAAAAAACGGAACGTTGGACGATACTCTTGCTATGGAAAGAATGACGTTGGAAAAGGAAAGAAGAAATTCGTTTTCTTAACTGTCCGTTGTAAGTTTTACTGCATGTCCCCTTCTCTTTGAGAGGTATCTACACACAAGTACGTGTTATTTAAATGTTAAATAAATCTTGTAAATGGTTAAGACGAGGAAGTGTAAGGAAAACCCTCCTTAGCCACCACTTTGCCGGCAGACTTAACTGAAGTGCAAGTGAAGTGAAGTGAAAATATCCTTGTGCCTCTGTCCATATCGTTTGGGAATCTATAGCACATAGAAATTCTATTATTTATCTTTTTCTGTCTCTGCGGAAAAATTATTCCGAGAAGTTCCCATGCTGCCATTCCCCCTACCTTCAGAGAGAACTGCGGCACGGTCGTCGACTAAATGAGTAATGCATTAATTACCATACTGTTGAGATCATATGGAAAAAAGCGGTACTCGAAAAAACAAACCCCTGTTCATTATATGTATCCATTCCAGGATCTTAACAATTCTTTTGAATGTGTTGCAGATGCCCCTCTGGAAATAACTTTGACAGCAGTTGTGAGGCTCAATCAGACTATAGTTCTGACTTGCCAGGCAGATGCTCTTCCATCGCCTCGATATCTGTGGATGCTAAATGGAAAAAATCAGACCAAAGCTGTTTATAACACTTTAAAGCTAACGAATGTACAAGTAAATGATGCAGGAAATTACACCTGCCTAGCAGAAAACTTTTTTTGGACACAAAAACACAACAAGAGTTGTCAACGTAGAATGTGAGTTTGCATGGCATATAATAGGTTGACAAAACTTGCTGAGAGTATCATCGGCTCCATGCTATATTAGTTGATCCAGCCGTACAGAAGGATGGATACTTATACCAAGAAAACCTTTCAATCCGACCTGAGAAAGCAAATGCACTTTTCTGTTCACTACCATAAGACTTAGCTCAAAGTAACGACAACTTTGCATAGCGAGGTTTCTAAACCGATCACAGAGTGGATTGAAGTCAAAAACCCATGATTATTTTCACTTTTTTTCATAAAAACTGCACAATCTTTTGAAATCCATTTTCTGGGAAACTCTATTAAAGACCTCAGTGGGCAATTTGTTATATTATTAAAATGGTATCTTTGCAAAGCCTTTTTCCTTTTACTAAGCGACACTTTAAGTCACGAGATATACGACGACTTCGTCTAACTTATTTTAACTTTTGCCATCAGATGCCCCTGCCGTTCAGTCATTGACTACTGGAACTCCTAAAAACACTGTAGTTCAAGGACCAACCGTGACGGTTACGTGCAGTGCAAATGGTTATCCTGCATCAACGATCACCATTAAAAGAAATGAAACTGTTATCAATAATGTGGGGAGATTTGTAATACCCAACATACAGCTCAACGAAGAATATACCATATACACATGTGAGCCGAACAATACTACAGGAACAGGCGCTAAGAAAGAATTGAAGATTACAGTGCAAGGTTAGTACCTGTGCCTTTTTTTAGTAATGCAACTCTTTTGTAATATTGTAAAACAGAGGAGATTCGTGTCCGAACTCTTCCTGTTGTTTAGACATTTTTGATTTATCAAACTTGTGACTGCATGAATGTGTTTCTGTTGTCTTAGTGAAGTTAAAGAGCTACTGATTTCTTTGTAGAGCCTTTCCTTAAATGGAAATGAAGCAGACAAGCATTCTTCTCAGCGGGTCTAGACTGCTAACTTGTTTTCGTGCACCTGTGTGCCTTTCAATTCTCAAGTAACTCAAGAAGATTTCGGTATTTAGATAATAGGTACCGAGCGGATTTTATTTCGGTCTTTTTTTCTTTTTTCTACCTAGTTTCCTCTTTAACACTTCAGATCGGCACATAATTAAATGTTAAACGACAATAACCTTTCTGACACCAATTTTCATTGATTAATCTTTTCACAGTTCCACCGACCATTTGTGGAAAACTTCCAGATTCCAAAAATGTAAAAAAGGAAGATGAAGCAGTTTCGTACCTGTGTGGAGCTGGAGGCAAACCGGCACCAAACATTACCTGGAAATTTAAAGGAAAGTATCTTATCGATAAACCACCATTCGATATCTCCACCACAGTGCTTGTATCGTCCGATAAGCTTAGGACGACTCAGTCAGTTCTCACCATTGAACAATTAACTTGGAGAGAAAGTGGTACTTTTTCTTGTCTTGCATTCAACGATGCTGGTCAAGCGATACAATCTACAGAACTCGAAGTCGAGTGTAAGTTCGTGTCACCTATTGGGAAGGGTTAGGGGTCTATTTACAAACCAGTTAACGTGTTGGTTGGCCTAAAGGACAGGCGAAACGTTTGTGCGTTTTCAGGCGAGCAGAGGTAGGCGCAAGGAGAGCAAAAAGAGTGAATCATGGAGTGGGAGAGTGTTTCACTTGAAAAGCCTTTTCCTCCACTCACCACTCACCACTCATCCCCAAAAGATCTCACCTGTTTTTCAGCTAACGTGTGATGCTGGGGAGTACCATGCCCCTGGGTATTGGGGACGATGAAAAAAGGGAAGGAGGCTGGGGGAGCAGAAAATAGCAAAGAGGGAAGGGCTGATAGGATGCCTACCCATTTATGGAAACCTTTAGCGATTCTGACTGTACCCATCCATGCATCTGTCTAGGGATGGGAAATCGGACTGTTCCATCCTTGTCACACAAGGATGGAAAAATCTGTCGATCCGTTGTCCAGCGTAAAAACCACTGTGCCGCCATCAAGGCCGTGTTGTGACCATGTTTACATGTATGAAATATTTGTTGTAGTGGTCGTTAATGACTGTGACGAGGCGATAGTTTCACTTATCTTTATCTGTTAATTTTTTTCCGTAGATCGACCAGTTGTTCAGTCTATGGCAGATCACCCTAAAAACCTCACCGTGGATGAGGGAGCAAATGCAACTTTCACTTGTAAAACAAAGGGTTATCCATCTACCCAAGCTCACATGTGGCAGTTTAATGGAAGCAGAATTTCAGGAGCTTCCAGCTCAGGTTGTCATGCAGCAACGTTCACAAAACCTTACGTGAAAAAAACTGACGCTGGGTGGTATTCTTGCACTGGCCGGAACATTCTGGGAGAAGGTCCTCATCCTGCATGGGCATATTTAACAGTTAAGTCTGAGTACCAATGTGTTGGCTCATATTCATTCCCGTTTTGTTTAATAGTATTTAAATGAAATTATCTGACTTGTCGCCAGCGTGAGCAGTTTTGATTCTTTGAATTATGGCAAGCTGAACCATATATTTCTCAGAACTTGTAGGTTTTTTTTTCTACCAAAATGTCAGCTTTAACATACTGTTTTTTACACCCAACCATCTTACTGATGTGCCATGGGAACATTTACGCTGAAAGTTCTAAATTCTAAAAATGCACTAAAAGCCACTTTAACATCTAAAAGCAGATAAGCTAAAACTTTGCATTTGGACATCTTAATTTTGGTTTCTAATTTCTTGTAACCATCGTGTAAGAAAAATGGAATGACAGGAAACGATAGCTATGTGTATTTTGATCTTGCTTATTGCCTTGTTGAATTCATAGCAGGCAGTCACGGCTTGTGGGTAAGAGAAAAAATTCAGTTTAAAATCTCTCTTTTCCTTTTCCTGAGAGAAAACACTGTACTTCCACTTCTAAACTGGGTCCTACATCTTTTCATAGATCGTCCAACAATAATCTCCTCGCAAGAACTATATACAGTAAACGAGACTAGAAATGTTTCCATGTTGTGTCGGGCAGATGGCTTGCCAAAACCTAAAATTGTTTGGAAAAAAAAAGGCAGTAGTGAGGTTCTCGAAATTGGTGAACAGTTTCATGTCCTCAATGCCCAGGACATTGATAATGGTTTGTATTCTGAAATATACGGCCATATGTTGGCAAAGAGCAAAGTTTAAATGTCTTTTTAAATACCACATTATAACAAAGCCTTCAGATACTTCAAACGTTGGCTGTATTCCTTAACATAATCATCTTTATTGAGGAAACTTTTTCATAACAGATATGGTTTTCAAAAAGGACCTTGAAACTAGATATATATAGTAGAAACAAGAAAGCAATAAAATTGCGGCAAAGGGATTAAAAGGATACAAAAAATGCATAAAAAATTAAAAATAAAAAATATATTAAAAACAAGTATACATAAAAATTAAACGTAAGTAGCTATATTAAAACTAAAAAAACATTACGTCTAAAACTATTAACATTCTTTGAGTCTTTGATAGTCTGACTGAGGGAGTTAAAATCGGAAACGGCATGATATTGTGATCTTTGCTTCCCCCAATTTCTTTTGACACGCGGTAATCTTAAATTGCCTTTGTTACGTGTATTATGGCTATAGAGTACGTCTTGTCTAATCAAGTCCATATTGTGATTAGTTAGGCCATTGATGCATTTGTATACGTGTACACATCTTCTTTGAAATCGCCTTTTCTCTAGAGGCAGCCACTTGAGAACGGCTAATGCCTCAGTGGAGGATGAGTAAATGGTCTATTTAAAATAACTTTGGTGGCCTTATTTTGCAAAACTTGCAAACTAGACATAAGGGTAATATTATGTTTATCGCCCCATACTAGATCAGCATATTCAAAAAGGGGCATAACAAGACCTTTATAGAAAACTAAACGCACCCTGAAAGGCAATACATGCTTTATACGCTTGAGAAGCCCAAGCCTCTGATTGATTTTCCCAGTTAGGTGTTCAATAACCTCCTTCTCCAAGCGATCTCCACTCAAGACAAACGATAGTAGCTCTCATTCATTTACGGTTGACATTATGGCTATGACAGAAATATATTTTACAGTCGTGCGTCTATCCAGACAAACAACTTTACTGATCAAGCGTGAGAGAAAACAATATATTTTAAGCCCTGCTTTTCAGCTTGGTTTTAAAATACATATCAGAAAAACAAACAACGATGTTGATTTTGTTACAGCGCGCCCAAAGATGAAGATATTCGGCTCCACAGTCACAGTGATACCTGGTAATAAAGGGGACAATGTGACCTTAATTTGTACTTTCAGTGGCAACCCGCGTCCTCGTGCATCATGGAAAAGACAACTTAATGGAACGGATCTGAGTGTAAAAAATGATTCTTACGTGCAAAATATCTCTCAGATGAACGACACTTCCACCATGAAAGTGACAGTCAACAACACGGGTGAATATTTCCATTGTGTGGCTTCAAATCTTCTTGGAAGTGACAACTTGAGATATACGATACGAAGAAGAGGTAAGTGAAAATAAAATCTCTGCATGCTCAGTTTTAATAGTAAATACTTTCTTATCGTTGTTCTTATAGCTAAGCGTGTGAACGGGTCTGCATTCTCATTTTTCTGAAAAAGTTGTGTGTCACAGCGGAATCTCCCATACTAAAGAAGAAATCTAAGACCAACAAAATATCTTCTTGCAGCATGGTCAAGAACAAGTGGTTAGTGAAATGACGAGTGAATGGCGAAATTCTGATAGCTTCCTAAACATCATTGGCTCCTATAAATCATCCCGCATACACTATTACACGATTTCCAATGATCAAAATAATGAACTTTCACTGCAGAAAAAATTATCGCACGCAGGGTCTTTCACGGGAAAATGGACCCGTTGTAGTTTCCAGAGCTTTGAGGTATTTCGCTGATCTGTTCTCGATAAATTCCCCATGCTCGAGAAAGACCAACATAGGTGGACTTAAGCTGTATATTGCAGTGGGTAAGAGCCTGTGTACAGCTGCCCCATCCCCTCAAAAAAATCGGGAAGGGGGCCCCTTCCCGATTTTTCTGAGGGGATGGGGCAGCTGTACACAGGTTAGTGCAGGGGTCAGGGATCAATAATCAATAACCAAAATTTTGTCGATAGGTGTCTATGATCCTCCACGCGATGTGAAACTCTTGGCTTTTAAAGTAGTTGGTGCTAAAACTGTGAATTTGAACGTGACTTGGACACTTGGATACAGTGGAGGATATGAACAAACATTTACAATTTATTTTCGTGTGAAAGGAAGCGACAGTGACTTTGAGGAGCAATATGTTGGACGCTCAGAAAACCACATGTACACCATACAAGGACTTAACCCTAAGACCAACAATGAATTTACTGTTCAGGCTTCAAATATAGATGGCAAAAGTCAAAAATCAACT